CGCGGTGTAAGGTACATGATAAGCACTCCTGGATGTGTCTTTTGAGGTCCGTTGCTAGTCCTTTCCACCAAACTACCCGTCTTGCCAACCTCAGGCAGCGATTTAGTCCGGCGTGGCCGGAGTGCGGAGAACCGTGTAGGAGGAATAAAATCGCATCTCGGTGGAATATATCGAGCACGTGACCATGTGTGTACCCAGCCATTGGGCGTCTCGGTCAGGAATGGAATATCTTCGGAAGCGGGCGGTTCTGAGCGCAGATCCTCCGCCGAGATGGGTGGAGGTATAGCGATAAATGCTGGTACGGCTATCGTGTCAATGGTCTGATCGTGATCCGAATCGAGACGGCTGAGCCAATCAGCCACAAGATTGGAACTAACGGCTGTATAGTGGAAGGTCACCGTGAACTCGCAGATTCGGGCCCTCCAGCGGCTCAACTTCGCGTTATTGGTGGAATCGAGATGTTCGAGCGCCTTGTGGTCGGTGAAAACCACCACTTCGTTTCCCTTGATGATGTTATGCAGCTTTTCGAGAGCCCACACGATGGCGTAGCACTCGCGTTCCGTGGTACTCCAATTGCGTTCGGCAGGGGAGAAGGTGTGCGAGAGACAAGCAATCAATTTCGGGGACTCGAGTGGCTGCCAGAGAGCAGCCCCTGCTGCCACATTGGAAGCATCTGTGAAAAGGAGGAATCCTTCTTGAGGATCCGGCATGGTCAGTGACACCGTGTCCGCCAGGGCTAGTTTCAGGCTCAGGAAATGTCGTTCGAAGTCAGGAGTCGCGCCAAGGTTTGGAATGTGGCGAGATATGTATTGTACTGCACCCACAAAACGCTTCAATTCCGTCTGGTCCTTTGGGACGGGGGCATTGCTCAGGGCCGACACGCGTTGGGGTCTGGAGTGAGTGTGTTCTGTGTGACGATCACCCCGAGGAAGGAAAGCTCAGTCTTCAGGAACTCATATTTTTCCCTGCTAATCCTCAGTCCGACTTCTCGCAGCCTTTCCAGAACTCGCAAGACCAGGTCAAGGTGAGCATCCCTTGTTTTTGTCCCAATTATGATGTCGTCAACGTATACCGAAACTCAGCCGGGGCGCATTTGCGCCCCTGTGGCAACACGCTCCACCTGAAACATCCTAGTCCGCCCACTGAGAATCCTGTTAAGTTCTTAGAGGATTCGTCGAGAGGGACGTTCCAGAACCCATTCTTCAAGTCCAGTTTCGAGAACCACTTGCATTCCCTCAACGAGTGCAGGATTTGTTCGATGTTCGTCAGGGGATGGTGGGCCGACACCGTGGCTGCATTGACTAACCGGTAGTCGATGACTAATCGCCACGTCCCGTCCCTTTTAGTCACGAAGTGGGCCGGTGAGATTATAGTCCCCTTTGTCGCGGGTTCGATAAGCCTTTGTCTTAGCAACGGCGGAATGACCTCCTTCGCCACTTGAACCAGTCGTTCATTTAATGGTCTTATGGGCTGCCGTGGTACTTCGCGCGATGATTCC